ACTCGTTATGTTGAAGATGGACTCGTTATGTTGAAGATGGACTCGTTATGTTGAAGATGGACTCGTTATGTTGAAGATTGGACTCGTTATGTTGAAGATGGACTCATTATTTTAAAGATTGGACTCGTTATGTTGAAGATGGACTCATTATGTTGAAGATTGGACTCGTTATTTTGAAGATTGGACTCGTTATTTTGAAGATTGGACTCATTATGTTGAAGATGGACTTGTTATGTTGAAGACTGCCTGTTTTATAACCACACAGATGGCCTCCCATAATTTTTCATCCATTTTTTAAATCTTTTCAGTAATCACTCCAGTATATATCTTCTTCCTCACTGATTCACCTCATTTCTTGAAATATATATATTTCCATGATTGATTGTAGCCATATTATGACATCTGTACATTACAAACTGATGGATACACATAGTTACTTACCTTTCAATTCCACACACCAAGAGAAACATTTCTAAACCCAAACTCACCAGGTTACCTAGGCGGCTCTGCAGTAACAAATATGATTATATCTGTCTAGATGTTTAATTTTTTCAAAAACTTGGTTACCCTACTACTCTTCTTCACCATACTAAAGAGAATCTTCATACAAATATAAAATTCAAATACAGCTTTTCAGAGTTTGCCAAGTTTAAATCGTTTCATAATTATAACGCCAATGTGATGGATAATTTAAAGATTCCATTGACACATGTTCTCCCTCACTTCAACCAACACACTGTCACCGATCATAAACGCATTCCACTTATACTTACTTATCACCCATTCAACACACAAATAACTTACATTGCTTGACAACTTTAACATCATAAAAAGAACAGTACTATCAGTCACATTTCCTTATATACCTCTAAGTTCTAGACTCTAACATGAAAGATTCACTCATCCACAGTCAACATCTGAACAACACCGTGATGTGATATTTATGGTGGTGCATACAACTTTCAGAGGAACAGAAGAATGGGGCCCTTATAGTGATAAAAAAATGTGTTAAAGGTGCTAAGTCAGCCTATTCTGTTTATAGCCATTTTGCTTGTACATCTTAAATTTTAAGTAATCGTTTTATTTGTGAAAACTGCAACAAAATTTACTTAAGAGTAACTATTTGTATGTAATCTGAATGCACAAGAAAATTTATATAGCATTTCAATTAAAGACCAATCTGATCATTCTATTTAACATTTTAAAGTAATTGCCCTGGGAGATGATCATTCCAATATTAATCAGAGAATCAGAATAAAAAACAAATTATTTTCAAATTAGATTGTATAAGTCCTTTTGGTAGTAATAAAATAACTTTTTAAATGTTTTTAAAATT